TCAGGGGTGAGGCTAGGCTGTGTCCTTGCACCAACACTTTTCGACATCTGCATAGACTGGATAATGGACAGAGCTACTAACCAGAGTCAGTGTGGAGCAACACTTGGCAATATTAAGGCCACAATGTTGCATTTCTATCTGAGTCTGGAATCACTGGTGGCAGCTCTTGATGCATTTTGCAAAAAGGCAAAGGTCTTAGGTCTAGCGGTCTCTTTGACTGGATCCAGGACTTTGGGGCCCTGTTAGTGGAACCCATGCAGTTGATTCATGCTTGCAGTGAGGACTTTGGAGTCACAGAGAACTTTACATACCTCAGTAGTATAAGCCATGTCTCTGAGCTGCCAGACCAAGAATTCAGCAGATGGATTGGCCTGGCAATAGGAGCCATGAACTCGATCAACAAAAGCATTTAGATATGCAGAAGGACCAAGCTACGTGTCTACGTGATACTGCCAGTTTTGCTTTATGGAAGCGTAACCTGGACGGTATGGAGTGCCTTGGACTCTTTTTTGATGCCTTTTGTAACAAGTCCCTTCGCCGGATCATGGGGTACATTTGGCAGGACCATGTGTCCAACTGACGGCTACACCATGAGACTGGAATGGGACCTGTTACTTGCATAATCCGGGACCGCCAACTCAGGCTATATGGGCACCTAGCTCGTTGTCTCTTTACGAGACAATCCTGGGTGGAGGAGGCCCGTGGGACAACTTAAGAGGTCATGGCTTGGGCAGATCGACCATTTTTTTCTTTTCTTTATGGAGATGAAAAAACAAACATTTGGATGAAACTTGTGACATATAATTACCAAATTAAAATTGACTTTAATGGACGGGTACTTTGACACCTTGTATATGGAGGAAAACGTCTGTCATTTTTCCAAAGGACCAAATACTGCTCGCATGGATCTTATCACAGAATCGGCGAATCGCCAACGTACAAGTGTGCAAGATCGCAGCAGAAATAGGGGATGCAGACGGACGTTGCAGGAAACCTGCATGGAACAGCCTTTCAACATCCGCCTGCTCTCCCGCTATACATGCCTGACCCTTCTCGCTCATGACTGCAGTCGCCATTCTCGAACTCTAACGTGGTGGTTACGCACTGGCAATTATTAAAAGGACCGCACGCTTGCAGCCGATGAATGGAACTAAAATAAATAGATCCATGTAGGTAAACGAACTATGAGAAATAATGAAAAGCAATGAAAATGAAAGAGGAAGCGTTATAGACTTTAAAAAATGAAGATTTAAACTAAGATTTTTTTTCCTAAACTGAGTGTTTTTTTATAGAGGGTGGAAATATCTTAGTATTAATAGAATTGTATGTCTGAATTATGTCGAAAATTATTCTTTACTCTATTAGGATACCTTTCTTTGGGGGGAGTGGGGGGGGGGGTTGCATGCGCGTCTCTGAATTAATGAAAAAGTATGAAATAACTGAAAACGGTTTAATCACGTATCCCATATTATTATTTTTTCTTTAACAATGCATATGAATTTATGATCATATGTAATCAGAACAAGTTACATAGGAATATTTTACGAGATGAACATATAAACACATAAAACTCCAACAGAATTGAATACTGAAGTTTGTTCAAAACTATTTTCATTTGGATAATGAGAACAAATTGTTTCATACAACAGGCGGAATATCCACACATATAAAAACTAAATAGAAAAATAAGCGAGTGAAATTAATTGTTATGGAGAAAATACTGCCATGATTACCACGAAAAGTGAGAGAAAAAAAGTATGAAAAGCTAATCCATCGTTACGGGTAAAAACAAAATCATAATATTTAAGACACTTTTTTTTTGTCTGAATATGTTCACAGAGGTAAAGCTTTCAAACCAGTTATTATAGATATTTGTTAAAAGTTTGGTGTCTTTCAAATATTGAAATAAAGGTGTTCATACTTAAAATGGTTTTAAATCATCTTCAAGCCAATTTGTAAACATTGGAACAAAATACATAATATAAATTAAAGGTTCAATGTACCTATATCAATGAATGACTACAGAGAACGACGAAATAAGCCGCACCATGATATGCCGTATGCGTCATACAGTAAAATGTATTCCTTGTCACGGCTATGTAGCTGAGCTACTGGGCAGAGGGTGGTAGTGCCCAATATCTTTATCGTTATCCACTCGGCGACCTGATAACCTGCTGCGTAAAAAGTTATGGCCCTGCAGTACATCATCAGGAGCGGCTGAACCATCGATAGTTATTTAGGAGTGTGGGGGGGGGGGAGATGCCCAAGAACATATCGTCCACCAGGCAAAAGGCGCAATTAGACCGGCTTGGACAATATATTTATACCGCTGCCTGAGTCTGGAATAAAGACGCGGTTCGCGGATGACTCTAGCCTGTTGGGTGGCGCTCGCATGCAGATATCAGCTGTGGCTGATATCTGTAAGTCGCCTTATATCTCGGCTGGTTATCACTCGCACCTATTGTTTTCAGACCAGGGGCTTTTGATACGTGGAGTGAAC